TTCTTTTATTTAGATTATAAATGAATACATTTCAATATAATTTTGAAAAGTTGCCTGTTTTCGCGCTGTACCAGTTCAATTATGTGCCAATCGACATATGACGCGTGCCATACCACACTATATAGTGTTTAATATTAAATTTGTGCAAAGCAAATGCTTTTTACACTTCCGTACTTTGCAATTACAAAAAATATACGTAGCATTTACGTAGCAACGTAAATATACTGCGCAGGAGAATTAACAGTAGGAATAAAAGTTGAGAAGCACAGGTGGGTCGTCCGCATCTTTGGTCCAGATCTCAGCGGGCTGCACTCCAAGTAGTAGTAGTGCCATCCATATACGTCCTATATACAGCAGCAGGCAGGCGGCTGCGCGTCACCCTATTTACTGGGGGGCACGCGCAGGTCAGTGTGACGGGCTCAAGTGCGCGCCCTGCCACGCCCTGCCACGCCGCGCACGCGATGCGCCACTCCCCTCACAATGGCTCACAAGACGCGCGGCTGCTGGCGGGCCGGCCTTTGTATGACCCGCCGCCACCGCCCGCTACTAAAAGAACGTTCAGGGACGAAGCGAAAAGTTTATCTTTCGAAAAATAAAGCATATTTGCAATAAAAAAAAAGTATGGACTCGACCTAATTTGGGAAGTGACACAATCGTGATTAGGTTCTGCATATCACTGCGAAAAAATTATTAGCAGGCTGCATTTGGCAGTTTACGGCCGCACGGTACGATTTCACCATAATCCGACGTCAAAAAAAAATAATGAAAAATATCCAACTGAAACTAACACAAGACACAAGAGGGTCGGCAATTTTAACGCCGGCTGGTCTAACTCTCGTAGATGTGTCCCTCCTGGCGGCGGACCTTGTCTCGTGATGTTGTAAACATGCGAAAAGCTTAGGAACGCAAGGTCTGTGGTCTGAAACCCGCCTGTGCGTAAATCCCGAACGGACACAGGCAGGCTGTTCGAGCCAGCCAGGGGTACACAACATACACAATTCCTATCCGCTAACAGACAAAAGTAAACTCGCGACGAGCATTCGCGCATTCGCATTAGGGTGAGGAGGCCAACGTCAGCACACACACACACAGACACAAGCAGGCGCCGTCACACACACACAGACACAAGCAGGCGCCGTTAAGCGACAGTTTATGTGGCGTATCGTGTTTCAGGCGGAATCAGTCAGCGAACAGCGGACCCGGCATCGGAGAGGAGGAGGGGAGAGCGCGATAGGGAGAGGGAGAGAGAAGGGACGCACGTGTTGTGGGGATCATCGACAGTGGTCCTCCTGGCACGCGGCCATAGCGAACGCAAAGAGAGAGAGAGAGAGGAAAACAAAATATACCAGCGAGAAAAACCGCGCGCTCCCAGCTCCCACACGGCCCGGAGCGCCTTGCGAGGTAGGCCAGCCGGGGTCGCTCGCGCGCGCGCCCGCGGGGCGGGTGGCCTACCTCCAGGCGGTCGGCCTGGACCGTCGGCGGATATAATCAGTGCGGCGAGAGACGCGCAGGGGGTCTGTTCAACCCGCTCGCCACTACCGGCTGGGCTGCTGCTGACGCTCGGCCACCCCAGGCATTCCCGCACCTCCTACCAGCCTCTCTCCCTCTCTCTCTCTCTCACCATCCTCGCGCAATATCCGCCGAGAGGAATGTGGCAAGCAAGGGCCCAGTCAGTCCCTTAGGCCCCGGGGGAGGGCTAGCCTGGGCCCTGGCCACTATGACGCAAGCTACGGGGGACAATAGTATATCGTCAGCTCTCGGACCCCTTCGGCCGCAAATAAGAGAGACGCACGCTAAACACACACACGCGCACAATCACGACTGTATACTTTAGCGGCGCGCAGCGCGCGTATAGCACCACGAAGACTGCCCGCCCGCCCG